AGAAATGATCACTGCCAAAGTAATATTGGCAGTGGCGCAACACTGGAAGGTACCAGCTAGACACGGAGATGTGCCGAACGCTTACGATAAAACATTCGCTGAAGAAGAATTCCCCATTTATTTTAAAACCCACAAGGTATGGAGATACGGGATCAAATATTGAAGGTGTTGGGTGTAAATTCTGTAAATGAAATCGTATTGTTACTACTTCAAAGCCTTTACGGCTTGAAACAAGCCGGTAGATCATGGGATCGTTTACTTAGTACAAAATTGATCAATTTGGGATTAAAGCAATCGATTGTTGAACCATGTTTGTTCTGTAAGAAGGATGATCGTGGAAAATTACTCGTTGGAACATACGTGGATGATTTATTGGTCACTGGTACCAATGACGACTTAGTGAACGAGCTGTTTGATTCACTGGAAAGCTTACAAATCAAATACCTGGGAGAAGTTAACAAGTTTCTGGGAATGAGAATCATCAAAAACGAGAAGATTTTTTTATTGATCAAGAAAACCTTATTGATGACGAATGAATGAAGCAAAAATTACAAGAATTCCGATTGAATCTGGACATTTATATGACGAATCCAGCTCTAAATTGCACGTTCCAGAGAGTTTCAGGTCACTAGCGGGGAGTTTGTTGTGAATTTCGCGTTGCACACGTCCAGACTTGTTATTTGCCATTCATAAGATGACGAGAAGAACCCATGATCCGAGGCAACAAGACTTACAACTTGGGAATTCATGATCCGAGGCAACAAGACTTACAACTTGGTAAAAGAATTCTACGATATTCAGAGGGAACAAAATGTTTGAAGTTGAAGATGAGAAATCAAGAGCGAACCGAAGTCTTACCTGATGGTTTTATCTCCCGTTACAGCGATGCAGACTTCGCTGCGGACACTGAGGACCGCATATCCATGATTGGAGGAGTGATATATGTAGCAGGGTGTAATGTCGGAATGGATATGTCGAAAACAGGCATCAGTGTCGCAATCAACGGCCGAGTCTGAATTCATAGCGGCATCGGTCGTAACAACCGGATTACATGGACTTTTCAATATGTTGGATGAAGTTGGCATTCAAGGGATTCATAACTGGTTACTCTTTGTCGATAACCAAGCAGCTATAGTACAACTGAAAGGAGAAAGTTCGACATCTTAACTCAAGCATGTCGATATACGCTATAAATATGTACAAGAACGTATCAGAAACGAAATGATGGAGGTGAAATACGTACAGAGTGAAGAAATGAAAGCCGATTTGATGACAAAGCCTTTTCGGCGACTAAACTTGGAGAACTCCGCGCGCTTTGTCGTCTCGTGGACGATATACAGCACACCAGGGGAGGAGTGTTGGGAACAAGTTAAGTCTTCACCTAAGTAAACCAGGAGGAGTTACGAAACTCCCAACCATTTGCATAATTACATAGGTAAAAGCAGAACACATTCACTTGATAACTTACCTTTCTTCCTTCCTATCGGTCATTTACAGCATTTTGCGCAGAAGTAGCGTATCGGGCCACCGATTTAGT